GGGGAATCCACCACTTCCCTTGGGAGAGTGTTTCCATGTTTTATTGTTCTCACAGTGAAGAACTTTTTTCTGGACTCCAAATGGAATCTCCCCAGGAGCAACTTGCAGCTGTTGCCCTTGTTTTTCCCATGTGGCTCCTTGTAAAAGGGAGTCTACTTCCTCTTGGTAGCCACCCTTCGAGTACTGGTACATGGTAATAAGGCCTCCCCTAAGTCTTCTCCTCTTAGGGCTGAGCAAGCCCAGATTACTCAGCCTTTCTTCATATGACAGGGAATGTCTTGCAAATTAAAGATGTAAAAAAAGGTTAAAAAAAAACAAACCAAAGCAGAAAACAGATGTAAACAGTGAATTTTTCACAGAGATCAGAGGTGGACACTAACTGGCTATACCCTTAAGAGGCACATGGAGAAGATGGAATAAGGAGCAATCATCAAACAATAGAAAATGGGTTTCCAACTAAAGGAGTCCCTGAACACATGTAGTGAATTCTGGAATTTCTTGTAGCTGTTGATTTGGTACCACTAAAAGTTTACATGGATCCAGAACAGGAATCGAAAAATTCATGGATGAATAAATCAGCCAAGGACTGTTAAACAGAATGACCATTACCTCTGGCTCAGGAAGCCTCTTGGCCACCAGCTGCTGGCAACAAGAAAAGTACTTCAGGGAAATAGAGACATGTGCTTGTCCTTCTCTTTGCTCTTTCTTCGTAATCCCCTGCTGTTGATCCCTGCCAGAGACTGGATGCTGGTTTAGGTGGATCTGTTCTGTGACTCACTTGGCCCTTTCTCCTGCATTCTAATAATTTATCTTTGTGAAATTTCTGTGGGAAAATCAGGCCTCTAATCAGAAAGATTGAAAGCCCCTGTCCTAAGCCCCTATTAAAACTCCTTTGAAACATCATCCTGACCCTTCTCCAATGGCAAAACAGGAAGAATTTGAATAAAGTGTTCTCTAAAAAAGACAAGGTGAAAGTGGTTGGATGTTCCAGTATGACAAGGCCTGACACAGCTTACCCTAGGAGACTTACTTGGGAAAGTCGAGCAATCTTTCAAAATTTGATGAAGAATGGGGCTGGAGAGAGGGAGGGAGGAGGAGGGAGAGGTGAAGGCTAAGAGAATTAGATCTGTCTGTAACATCAGTTAATGAAAAAACACTGGAAAACGCAGTCAGTAATCTGTAAATGCCCACCTAAGCACATAAAAAATAATGACCAGCACACCAACATTACAGCTACACCAAGCACAACTCATATCGAGTCAACCTAATCCCTTGCTTTGGCAGACTATCTGGGCTGTGTTAAGACTTTAGGCAAAGCTTTATATGGTATTCTAACTAGTAAATAAGAGAAGACCTAATAGAGCTGTCATGAATCCAGTATATTTAGCTATAGAAGATAATGTAACTGATAACTTAAAAGTCCACAATAAATTACATCACCACTAGTGCTGTAAAATCCTTAGAAGACAAGTTTAGGATTAAAAATTATCTTAACTAAGTGGAAAAGTGATCCAGGAGAAAAGAAAAAAAAAAAAAGTATATTTGATCTCACTGAATTGCAGGCAAAGGTGCAGCTTGAGGCTTTGCTGCAGACACACTCTGTGATTTTAGGTGATGTCTCCAGGTCTTGAGCACCTGCCGAATTAGCACTGTGATTCTTCTGTCTGTGGAATTTCTGTAGTCCAGGAGCTTCAGAGCAGGGCTCAAACACAGACGTAGGATTTGTGAAGTTCTGCTCAAAGGGAAGGAAGCCTCCAACAAGAAGACTATCCAATACAGCAAGTGCATTGTTTCAGAAGACAAAGCCGTGTTGGGCACATTATATACACAGTAGTAACTGCTGACTGCCCCTTCAAGGAAGGGGAGGCTTTTTGTCTGTGTTGCCCTTCCTGCAGAGCAGAGCTCACGCTGTGTCCCATGGCTTGGGCTCCATGCAACGTTGCAGAAGATCAGTGGGAAGCTCAAAGCATCCCCTCCTGAGAGGAGCCGCCTGCTCCCCCTAGGCAGGGGCCGGCAGTGGCATCAGGCAGCTGCAGAGCAGAGCCCTTTGCTGGCCTAGCAGGTAACCCTTGACAGCTAGCACAAAGCAAAAGGAGCAAGAGGAGGGAAAACAGATGGAAACAAGAGCTTGGAAGTGGTCATAATTTATGTGTTAAATTATCACAAGCAAAAAGTTGTGAACCCTGGAAAGCTTTACAAATACCCCTGCTATCATCAGCTGTTGGTTCTGGAGGTGTTTTGCCAAATCGGTTTTCCAGCTGGGATGATGCTGGTTTGTTTTTTTTTTGTTTTGTTTGTTTGTTTGTTTGTTTGTTTGTTTTTGTTTTGTTTTGTTTTTCTTTTTTTTTTCTTTTTTGACCTGCCTCCATGCTTAACACCTGCTTAAAGCAGTAACCTCGTGTAAGATTGGCCAGCACCCAGCTCTGGCCAGGCTGGGCATAGAATAAAACCTGGCGTCAGTGCTGAGGCACAGGTAATGCCTTGGCTTCTCAGCACTGACACTGTCTTCCTACAGAGGGCTTACTTCACCATGAGCAGAACTTGCCATACCCCATGGCTGTGGCAGTGAGCTCTGGGTATTCTGTTAGTAGTGATTCTTGTAGCCCTAGACCATCAAATGAAAATGCTAAGGCAAGGGAGCAAAGCCACCAGGGTCTTTGCAGTACAGCTGGGACTGAGGGCCCAAGACGTAGCATTCAATGTAGTGTCATCTCTCTCTCAACCAAAACAAACAGCAACTTATGCTGCTGTCCCAACTGAATGACATCAGCAACACAGAAATACATAAAGTGCTTTATTGCAGCATCAGAATAAAGAATTCTTTTCTATGAATTTTTGTAGGAATAAAAGACATTTTATATATATTATATATAAAAACCACAATAAACTTAAGGAGTGGAAGCTTAGATATTCATCACTTAAATAGCGGTGGGCTGGACAGAATCTTTGATGAGATACAAAAATAAATGCTTGCTGAATGCCTACTTTTCTCATGGTGCCCTGCAAAGCCTCCTGGTGTATAAGGTGCTTGTGTGAGGAACAACACTGCTTCTTGTTTCTCATGCTCGAGTTCATGCCTGTATTGGCCAAACCATAGAGGTTGCTTGGCTTTCAACCAGCTTTTAGAGGGGAGCGCAATACAAGGAATTTTTCTATTTGCCCTCTAATGGGAATTCCATTTATTGCAGAAATTATACTTTCCTTTTGGGGCATTGGACTGGTTGACACACCCAGTATAAAGAGGAGGAGGGTGCAAATCCTGTGTTAGTCATTATAAGAGCCCTTCCTCGGAGAGCAGCCAGCCTAACAAACAAATTGGCTGAGCTATTGGAAGTCTCCTTAAAGAAAGGCTGTTTGCAGAGGTCCTGCTTCCATGCGTAGGTCCAATACTGCACACGAGGCACATTTAGCGGGAGGCTGTTTTAAAGAAATCTGCACTGATGGTGACTAAGCTCCTCTGAGAGTCTGCTGATGTTAATGATAACCTGTGTTACAGGAGAGGAAATACAAAGACGCTCTGTTGAAGGACAGAAGATGGTAAGTTCATCAGTCCGTGACCTTGGCCGCTCAGTCTGTCTGCTTCCCATACAAACACCTCCATGTTTATTGCTGAGCTGCTCTGCACATGTCCCAGGCTCCCAGAACCAATCTGCCAGATAACTGCCACCCTCTCTTGACCATCTCTTTATGACCTGACTCTTTACCAGAAACTAGTGAGCAAAATGACCATTTGGGCTAGGAAACATGTAATCGCCATAAAAATTTACCAGGCTGTGAGTCTCCATCCATGCTTATTTGGTTGTGTCTTCCTTCTCACCCTTTACATAGCACTGGTCATGTCAGACTGCATGCCTGTTGGGAAATGGATGGTTATCTGCCTATGTTTTGACAGCATGCATAATTGAAGTCTGGGGATACGAGTGTGGAATAACAGTTAAATAAGAATAATTCAGTGATAACTTCATTAATGCTTTTGTTTTACCACCAACGAAGTCTTAGGCACCGGTGACCAAGGATGAAATAGTCTATCAATCAGTAGCCGAGGCAAAAGGATCAACATACACTCAACATATATAAAGCACCCCCAGAAAAACTCCCCAGAGAGCTACCAGACTCACCCTGGAGAAAGCTCCTGCAAGAACAGACCTTGCACAGGAGAGTCGACCAAGGACCTCTGCACCCGAACAGATTTTTTTTTTTTTTTTTGTACAACAGTGTTCTTTAGGCAAACACGGAATAGCCAACAGCTTTGGGTGACACCTCTAGACTAGAAATTACTCTTTATGTTCTTTTATTTCCTCTGATGCATAAAACCTGCTAAATAAAAGCTATGAACAGTTTCTGCCAGGTTCAGGAACTGAATGTCCAGGGAAAAAGGTGCTCAGCCAAGTTTCTCTGTGGAAAACTTAAGAGCTCCCAAAATATGCTGGGACAAACTGCCATGGACCTGTGAGAAGCTCAGTATAAGCCAGGCAAGGACAAAGTGCCAGCAGAGAGCACCATGATCCATGATCTGCAGACACCAGGTATTGAGATTATCAGCAAATATGTGTCTTCCTCCTTTGGAGCTACACTTGCTTGCCTGGCCAGGCAGTGATGCTGAGGAGCACAGGGTGTGCCCAATCACATACTTTCTCTGGACCTGGGTAGGCACAGCACAGAGCAGGGCCCAAGGCCAGCCACAGACCAGAGAGGGGCAATGCTGGGTGCTTCAGCAGTGCCTGACTTGTTCCCATACACATGGAGAACTTGGCTCAGTGTTTTTTGCTTCTCTCCAGCAACGGCATGAGTGGTGTCTGAGCTGCCTCCTGCCCCAGCAGGGCTGTGGGTGGGAAGTGCAAGACTTCCTGCTCAACTCTGTCACAGGTGCTCCCAAGCACTGAAACCCACTGGAGGGCTGCTGGGGAGCCAAGGCGTGGAGGCTGGCTGATGCCGGGACTTGCATGGGTGCTGCCACCCCTCTGCCCCAGAAGATGCAGAGGGGCTGGAACGCACACAGGTGGTGTCCCCCTCATGCTGACCTCTTCAGAGGTCCATCTACCTCTGGCTGTGGCAGCCAGTGTTCCCTTTTGCAGCCAAAACTGCAATGGCAAGGCAATCTTGCCGAGGGAGCCCAGGCGGCCAGTCTTCTTCTGCCCCACATATCCCCCTAGACCCCTGAGACCCTCCTAAGCCTCTCCCTGACCGCCCCACCCCTCCCAGAAGCACCCAGCCCCAGTTTCAGAAGTAGGCCAGCGTGTGCCAGGGCAGGCGTGCAGGCAGGAGCAGGCAGCTCTGCCCACAGCAGGCCAGCTCCTCGGGTGCGGCGTGAAGGAGCAGGAGCGGAGGACGTTTCACCCCGCAAATGCTCAGCTGTCGGGTGGCACTGGCCGAGCACAGAGGCCAGAAGCAGGCAGGAGCAGCCCCCACCCCCTTTACGCCTACCGTCCCCTGCAGCTCTCCGCGCGTCCCAGGGTGCAGGGCTGCGCTGGGTGGCATGGCAGGGATCGCACCACAGTAACCTCTGGTGCCCTCGGAAATCCAAGGGGGGCAAGGAGCCCCTTTGAGGGGATGAGACAGATGGCACATCCCCCCTGCTCTACCTGGCGCCACTGAGAAGCCTGTGAGCAGGGCCAGGGTTTCGCCAGGGCAGGAGCCGGCGGCGGCAGCGGCGGGGCCGGG